AATTTGTGATATATATCTTGATATTCATGAATTATATAACAATATTTCAATGTACCTCGTAAGAATTCTTGCAACTATGGAGGAGTTTGAAAACACTTTGGAGAAGCAGAATTTGAGTGGATCTTCGAGTCATCGCACAGAAAAAAATGGACATTCCTGTTTTGAAAATATATTTAGTATTTAAAATATTTGAAATCTTGAAATGAGATTATATTGCGTTAATTTAAAACAAACTTAATCATTTAAATAATTGCTTACTTGAATGAAGCCATTTTATATAGTTTAGTCAAGAAAAATATATTCTTATGATTTAAGATTTATTTTTCTCGAATAGAAAAGCAACAATGTTCGATAGAAAATAACATTTTTATATCAAAGATTATAATTTTCTTAAAGTAGAATTAAATAATTATATAATATTCTTGAGATGACAATTACAATATTAAAATAAGACTATAATATTATTGAAATTTATAATTATTAAATTCTTCTAAGAAGATTATAGATTGTCGCGTATATACAAGTTTTGATTTGACATTTATTTTTTTTCTGTATATGGTCAAATGAAGGAATTCGGAAGAACTTTGGAGAAACATTTAAAGTTCATCTTCGAATCATCACTCAGAAAAAATGGACATTCTTGTTTTGAAAATATATTCAGTTTTAAGCTGGAAATCTTGAAATGAGATTATATTGAGTTAATTTAAAACAAATTTAATTATTTAAATAATTGCTTACTTGAATGAAGCCATTTTATACAGTTTAGTCAAGAAAAATATATTCTTATAATCCAAGATTTAATTTTCTTGAATGGAAAAGAAATAATGTTGGACAAAAAATAACATTTTTAAATCAAAGATGATTTTCTTAAAGAAGAATTATTATGATTTTCTTAAAGTAGAATTAAATAATTATAATTAAATAATTGCTTACTTGAATGAAGCAATTTTATACAATTCAATATCAAGAAAAATATATGTTCTTATGATTTAAGATTTAATTTTCTTGAATGGAAAGGAAACAAGATTGGATAGAAAATAACATTTTTAAATCAAAGATTATAATTTTCTTAAAGTAAAATTAAATAATTATATAATATTCTTGAGATGATAATTACAATATTGAAATAAGACTATAATATTGTTGAAATTTAAAATTATCAAATTCTTCTAAGAGGATTATAAATTGTTACGTATATACAAGTTTTGATTTGACATTAATTCTTTTTCTGTGTATAGTCAAATGGAGGAATTCAAAAGAACTTTGAAGATTTAAAGTTGATCTTCGAATTATCGCTCAGAAAAAATGGACATTCTTGTTTTGAAAATATATTTAGTATTTAAAATATTTGAAGATGCAAATCTTGAAATGAGATTATATTGCGTTAATTTAAAACAAAATTAATTATTTAAATAATTGCTTACTTGAATGAAGCCATTTTATACAGTCTAGTCAAGAAAAATATATTCTTATGATCCAAGATTTAATTTTCTTGAATGGAAAAGAAACAATGTTGGATGCAAAATAATATTTTTAAATCAAAGATTACAATTTTCTTAAAGTAGAATTAAATAATTATATAACATTCTTAAGATGACAATTACAATATTAAAATAAGACTATAATATTGTTGAAATTTATAATTATTAATTTCTTCTAAGAAGATTATAGATTGTCGCGTATATACAAGTTTTGATTTGACATTTATTTTTTTTCTGTATATGGTCACATGAAGGAATTCGGAAGAACTTTGGAGAAACATTTAAAGTTCATCTTCGAATCATCACTCAGAAAAAATGGACATTCTTGTTTTGAAAATATATTCAGTTTTAAGCTGGAAATCTTGAAATGAGATTATATTGAGTTAATTTAAAACAAATTTAATTATTTAAATAATTGCTTACTTGAATGAAGCAATTTTATACAATTCAATATCAAGAAAAATATATGTTCTTATGATTTAAGATTTAATTTTCTTGAATGGAAAGGAAACAAGATTGGATAGAAAATAACATTTTTAAATCAAAGATTATAATTTTCTTAAAGTAAAATTAAATAATTATATAATATTCTTGAGATGATAATTACAATATTGAAATAAGACTATAATATTGTTGAAATTTAAAATTATCAAATTCTTCTAAGAGGATTATAGATTGTTACGTATATACAAGTTTTGATTTGACATTAATTCTTTTTCTGTGTATAGTCAAATGGAGGAATTCAAAAGAACTTTGAAGATTTAAAGTTGATCTTCGAATTATCGCTCAGAAAAAATGGACATTCTTATTTTGAAAATATATTTAGTATTTAAAATATTTGAAGATGCAAATCTTGAAATGAGATTATATTGCGTTAATTTAAAACAAAATTAATTATTTAAATAATTGCTTACTTGAATGAAGCCATTTTATACAGTCTAGTCAAGAAAAATATATTCTTATGATCCAAGATTTAATTTTCTTGAATGGAAAAGAAACAATGTTGGATGCAAAATAATATTTTTAAATCAAAGATTACAATTTTCTTAAAGTAGAATTAAATAATTATATAACATTCTTAAGATGACAATTACAATATTAAAATAAGACTATAATATTGTTGAAATTTAAAATTATTAAATTCTTCTAAGAAGATTATAGATTATTACGTATACACAAAACAATGAACGCATTAATTCATGTATACCAGTTTTGATTTGATACTTATTTTTTTTTTCTGTGCGCGAGTATCGACGATTTACGCTCGGTTCGCTAATCGCGCGTATTCCTTATCGTGAGATGTGACGGTTGACTGGATTTCAGAACGTAGCCAGGTAAACACGAGTCGGATAAAAATGCAAAGAGAGCGCATTACATGCGCGTGCACGTAGTGCACGTTGCGCTGAGTTTGTAGGCAAGTTTTACTTTTTAATTAGGCGTCACGCGCACGACGCGATTTCCTTCGCGTTCTCGCCTCGCCCATAATCCTTTCGCGTTTCTGCAAGATTTTACGTATTTCGCACTTACTGTTAGTACTTACGCGACGTCGACGTTTCGCAACACTCGACTTTACGACGTTTCGAGTACGATTTTCGCCATGTCGTATGTAAATTTCAGCGAGCATGTGTGGCGGGTCGCTTTGTCGAGAAAATTTCACGCGACTTCGCGAGCGGAACGTTGCGGGTTTACGAAACTTTCGGCGGACGGAAAGAGATTTATCACCGGAATCGCGAGATTCATGGCTGGCGCATCTCTCCTCCTCGAATTTGAATTTTTACGCATTATGAGGATGCGTTTATACATTGCCTTTCATCCCGCGTGATTAATCTGTATTTCGATGGACACAATCTCTCGAGGCTTTCCGCGAGTTATCATAAATACACGTCCGCGTGATAACGCAGGCCTGCAAAAAAGGGGGTCGAAATTTCTTTTTAAGATGCAATAGTGATTTTTGACGTAATTTTGTGCGCTGAATCCGAATCTGGCCGCCGAATTTGCGTAGCACGTTAGGTTTTTGAATTATTTGTAGTTGAATAGCCCAAAAATCGCTATTTTGGCCATGAATTTATTATGAGTAAACCAAATTTTTTGAAATATTTCTATCAATGGCATCGTATAGTACTCACTTTCATCTTTCGAATCCACTTTCGATTACCGTCGCACGATTTTTTTTTGTTCAGATATACAAGTTATAAGACTAGTCATGCATAGGAATTTAATAAGCCATTCTAAATCAACCGTGCCATCTTTCTATCTCACTACGAATCAAAATTAGGGTAAAAATATACATTTTTAAATACCTTCTGTTACCTTTCGAAATTAAAAATGGCGCATCCAATATGGCGAATAGAATCACAATAAAAAGGCATAAAATTTAGAAAAATTTATTAAAATGTGTAACAACTGTATTAGACATTTCTTTACAATATTTTTTTGACCAACCGAACCTGACATATGTCAGTCTTTTCAAATTTCAAGATTATGGATCTATCATATTGATGTCTATATAAATTTTCTTTAACATAAGTTTTCTTACGTCATACTTATATATCTCAGCGAAAAAAAATCGTGCAGCGGTAATCGAAAGTGGATTTGAAAGACGAAAGTGAGTATTATACGATGCCATTGGCAGAAATATTTCAAAAAATTTACTTTCCCCACAATAAATTCATGAAAATGGCCAAAATAGCGATTTTTGAGCCATTCAATTACAAATTACTCAAAAACGTGACGTGCTACGCAAATTCGGCGGGCAAATTCAGATTTAGCGCACAAAATTACATCGGAAATCGCTATTGTATTTAAAAAAAAAACCTCGCAGGCCTATGTAATTCAATGAGCCGGGCCAGAGCGACAAGAACCGCGTCGCAAAAGTGCGCCTGCGAGTTTTCACTTTCTGCGCGCGATTCCGCGTCCCCTCATTGTCCCGAGGACGCGGGGATTTTTTTGCACGATAAATTTATCGTCGCCATACGTCAGCTCGCGAGCCTCTGGCGCAAAGTCTGACCAGCTCGTCCACTTATCTACCGCGCCCTTTATTTCAGTCGCGTAGTGACAAATCACGCCGGCTTGTGTGTATCTCCGTTTTTAATCGAGGGTCCGCCATAAATTCGCCGAGTAACCGCGCGATTTTTGCGGGCTTTCGCGGATAATCCAGCGGCGGGGCCGGCAAAAATTGTAGAGCGGTCGCTCCGGAACAAAATAAAATTTCCATTCTGGAGTTAAGGATGTTCGATAAGTACCGGGGCACTTTTCCCGGCGTACTTTCGCGCCATTATCATCGCGACGTTACGTACATGGAAACGAAATGATATTTGTTCGTTTTCTATTATTTTTCGCTATCTTTTAAAGCGTCGCGGCCACTCTCTATTGTCTCGTAAAGTTCTATTGTTTTATATCGTTTTTGTATGAGTCATGTATGGAGAAGCGCGGTTTCATATACATTGCGGAGTCGCATGTAACCGTGAGCCGACCCCCCACAGGGCCGGTCACTTATCTCTACTGTGTTCTTTGTTCCAGGCGAAATTGGAAACGAAAGCGCTGAAAGCAAAGAGGCCGGGATTCACGGACGAGCGATACAACGAGACCAGTTATTACGTGGAGCACGGTCAGTATCTTCTATTAGACGTTTCGAATTTAATCCCCTCGCGACCCGAGGCCGCCTTTAATGCATCCGCGGATTTAATGCGCCTCCCCTGTCCCGTGATTCGCGTCTCGCATTCCGGGTTGAGGGATCGCGACACAGCATTATTTCGCGCGCGTCAAATTTGCTCGTCCTCCGCTTTTCGAAAGAGAATCAAGAGAGAGAGAGAGAGAGAGCTCTCGACGCTGAAAACATGCCTGGTGCGGGCCTTTAAATGGGATCGGTTAATTTTCAGCAACAGTGTTGGCTTTACACTCGCATACGCCGGTCCGCCAACCGCGAATCAAATAATCGCGGCTAATCCCCAAGATAAACACAACCGGCTGCGATAATCCGTCGACTTGTTCGCCCTTGTCGGAAACGGGCGAGTGGGAAAATTGAATCCGAAAAATGAGGACGGAATGGTGGAGTGAAAACTACGATGCAACTGATTTTACGAAGCTCCGGCGTACATTTCCTTCCGTTATCATCGATTTCCAATTTCTCCATTATTTTCGAATTTCCAAGCAATTTAGATAGGTTAAACGACGATCGTTTTCGAATAAAATTGTTATTTGATTGACAAGTTTTTAAGCTGATAAATTCTTCAAATATAATAATGTAATGTGCGCGTCGAGAAAAAATATCTCTTACAAAATATAATATGTACTTTTAAAATAATATCTTATACTTTAGACGATCTGTGTTCAGTTTTTTGAGCACTCGTTGCAAATAAGACAGAAAAATCTGTCAGCTATAAATTAAAAATTTTTTTATTAATTTCGAATTTCCAAGTAATTTAGATAGGTTAAACGAGATCGTTTTCGAATAAAATTTTTATTTGATTGACAAGTTTCTAAGCTGATAAATTCTTCAAATATAATAATGTAATGTGCGCGTCGAGAAAAAATATCTCTTACAAAATATAATATGTACTTTTAAAATAATATCTTATACTTTAGACGATCTGTGTTCAGTTTTTTGAGCACTCGTTGCAAATAAGACAGAAAAATCTGTCAACTATAAATTAAAAATTTTTTTATTAATTTCGAATTTCCAAGTAATTTAGATAGGTTAAACGACGATGGTTTTCGAATAAAATTCTTATTTGATTGACAAGTTTCTAAGCTGATAAATTCTTCAAATATAATAATGTAATGTGCGCGTCGAGAAAAAATATCTCTTACAAAATATAATATGTACTTTTAAAATAATATCTTATACTTTAGACGATCTGTGTTCAGTTTTTTGAGCACTCGTTGCAAATAAGACAGAAAAATCTGTCAACTATAAATTAAAAATTTTTTTATTAATTTCGAATTTCCAAGTAATTTAGATAGGTTAAACGACGATGGTTTTCGAATAAAATTCTTATTTGATTGACAAGTTTCTAAGCTGATAAATTCTTCAAATATAATAATGTAATGTGCGCGTCGAGAAAAAATATCTCTTACAAAATATAATATGTACTTTTAAAATAATATCTTATACTTTAGACGATCTGTGTTCAGTTTTTTGAGCACTCGTTGCAAATAAGACAGAAAAATCTGTCAGCTATAAATTAAAAATTTTTTTATTAATTTCGAATTTCCAAGTAATTTAGATAGGTTAAACGAGATCGTTTTCGAATAAAATTCTTATTTGATTGACAAGTTTCTAAGCTGATAAATTCTTCAAATATAATAATGTAATGTGCGCGTCGAGAAAAAATATCTCTTACAAAATATAATATGTACTTTTAAAATAATATCTTATACTTTAGACGATCTGTGTTCAGTTTTTTGAGCACTCGTTGCAAATAAGACAGAAAAATCTGTCAACTATAAATTAAAAATTTTTTTATTAATTTCGAATTTCCAAGTAATTTAGATAGGTTAAACGACGATGGTTTTCGAATAAAATTCTTATTTGATTGACAAGTTTCTAAGCTGATAAATTCTTCAAATATAATAATGTAATGTGCGCGTCGAGAAAAAATATCTCTTACAAAATATAATATGTACTTTTAAAATAATATCTTATACTTTAGACGATCTGTGTTCAGTTTTTTGAGCACTCGTTGCAAATAAGACAGAAAAATCTGTCAACTATAAATTAAAAATTTTTTTATTAATTTCGAATTTCCAAGTAATTTAGATAGGTTAAACGACGATGGTTTTCGAATAAAATTCTTATTTGATTGACAAGTTTCTAAGCTGATAAATTCTTCAAATATAATAATGTAATGTGCGCGTCGAGAAAAAATATCTCTTACAAAATATAATATGTACTTTTAAAATAATATCTTATACTTTAGACGATCTGTGTTCAGTTTTTTGAGCACTCGTTGCAAATAAGACAGAAAAATCTGTCAGCTATAAATTAAAAATTTTTTTATTAATTTCGAATTTCCAAGTAATTTAGATAGGTTAAACGACGATCGTTTTCGAATAAAATTCTTATTTGATTGACAAGTTTCTAAGCTGATAAATTCTTCAAATATAATAATGTAATGTGCGCGTCGAGAAAAAATATCTCTTACAAAATATAATATGTACTTTTAAAATAATATCTTATACTTTAGACGATCCGTGTTCAATTTTTTGAGCATTCGTTGCAAATAAGACAGAAAAATCTGTCAACTATAAATTAAAAATTTCTTTATTATTTTCGAATTTCCAAGTAATTTAGATAGGTTAAACGACGATGGTTTTCGAATAAAATTCTTATTTGATTGACAAATTTTTAAGCTGATAAATTCTTCAAATATAATAATATAATGTGCGCGTCGAGAAAAAATATATCTTTTACAAAATATAATATATACACTCTTAAAATAATATCTTATACTTTTTACGATCTGTTCATTTTTTCGGGCACTCGTTGCAAATAAGACGGGAAATTCTGTCAGCTATAAATTTAAAATTCAAATCGAACGACATAAAGAAACGGTTATTCTAATCTTTCGATCGCGTAAGGGTGCCCCGTGGCGAACTCAAAGGAATGCTTCAAAGGGCTACAATATTCGCTTCGTATGCTGGTGTACGCCCCTTGTCGAACAGCTTTAATACATCTCTTTGTAGAATAAAACTGTCGCGTCATATATAAACTCCGGTATAACTCCGATACGTGAAAGATATTATTTGTATGGCAGTTAAGTCAATATATTTCGATTCGGCTGGTTTATCTTGCCAATATGTGTCCCGCGATTCGAGTAACCGGATGGAAAAGAGACTAGCTGGGGGGACGCAACTTTTCCGTAGTCTCGCTTCGTGCGAAATTGTCAAACGCATTCGCAGGCAGACACGAGAGCTCATTATCGCCATGGCGGGTAAATCCGCGATAACGGAAGGCGAAGAACGCGAGAAATCCGAGATTGCTCGCTGGAAATGGAAAAGCTGACCGGGAGATAATTAAATTACCATTTCGACGGGAGGGGGACTTATCGTGTGCCAATACGTGTGCCCGATAATCGATGCGAATACCATAGAGACGTCGCTCCATTCCGTTTCGTTTTCGCGAACTCGCGACATTTTTCCAGCTTCACCAACGGATATCGTTTCGAGCAGAAATTTAACGATTCTAATCTGCTGAAGCGAATCGAATACGTTTGTTTTCTCCCGATGCCGCAATATTTATGAAGTCAGGAGATAAAGATTTTTTCTTTTTTTTTTAACTTTATTTTAACATCGACGACATTTTACGTTTGCAAGTAATAGGAATCTGGATTGAATTATAAGCATTCTTAAATTTACATATTTATTGTTAGAACATGAATTTCAAGATGTTATTTTGAAATTATGTAAGAAAGAGTTCTCTTTACAATTTTATACAAAAAATCCAAGTTTTTAATGAAAGACTGTTTTATAAAGATTCGGTTTTGTGAGAAAACTGACTTTAAAAAAGTTTCCATTATAGATGATCTATTATAAATATACAGGGTGGCCTCGAACATAAAATAAAAGTTAGTTAAAAAAAATTATTTTATTTTTATAAAAGAAAAAGATTTTTATTTTTTATTTTTATCGTTTTTTTCAAGAAATTTATTTAGTTTCATTTTCTTTTTATTTCATTTTCTTTTCACCTTTTGTTCTTCCTTCATCAGAGGTTTTTGAGCGATAATTTCTTAAGGAAGCATTTTTCGACTCATGTTTATAGGAAATTTTTTGTTCAGAATTAAATTTCCTATAAGATCTCAAAGTCTGGCTGGAACGTTCGGGGCCACCCTGTATACTTTCCTTCATAAATTAATACTAATTATTAGGAAAATAAAAGTATGCCTGTCTAACGTTCCACAAAAAAACCTAGGCAGGACAGGAAATGAAAATTATTTGATTTTTGAAACTTTACGATAAACGATCAATCATATGGGCCTTCCAGACCCATTATATCCAGATATTCTTATTATACAAAACTCGCGAACAATTTTTCACTCGTCTAATTTTATTCTTATCGAGTAAACGAAATATTAGACCGGAGGACGACACGTCGCAATTTTAGCGCTTTTATCTCGAGAAGGAGAGGATCTCGTGCATCGTGCAGGTCGCGTACGGAGCGTTCGGTTAACTTTTCAGTAGTTCGAGTCGGCGTTTCTCTCGCCGCGCCTCCTCTCGGTTGGCGCGATTAACGTACAGTATATCCAGCGTGAAGAGAAAAGCTCCGGTGCCGTCTCGGGTGGGAACGATCGGCCGGCATTGTCGGATCGGGCGATACGTGAGGCACGCCGACGTGAGCTCATTATCGCGAGTTAGGGTTGCCGTTGGCGATAACGGCCGTTTGCGGTGCGCAAAGAGAGAGAGAGAGAGAAAGAGAGAGAGAGAGGGAGGGAGGGAGAGAGAGAGAGAAATGAGGAGAAGGAAGTTGAGGTGAGAATACGGAATTGCTGTCGGCGGAAGACGCACGAAGAAAAGGCAAAGGGATAGAGAGAGAGAGACAGAGAGAGAGAGAGGGAGAGGAAGATAGGTGGCGAAGGGTAACGGGGGCCGTTACAGAGAAAGGGATCGATC